TCTGTCTGTTCTGCTCCCCGCTCTGGCTCTGGTGAATTCTCTCACCCTCCCGCGCTTCTGACTGTACCCAGTGCTTGTATAGATAAGTGAATAAATCTTTCATTAAAAAAAAAAGAATATAACTGCCTTTCAGACAAAACTTCCACTCTTTCATGTTTTTCTCACATTTCTGACTGCTCTCACATCTCTCCTGGTTTCCCTCAATGCAGTTCCCCCTCAAATAACTGCTGTTCTCTTTTTTTCAGAATCCTTTGAATTCCCTGCTTTTCATCTCATCTGTATTATCTCCAATCATGTAAAGCTACTGTCCTCTTACTCAGGTTTCCTGGTTCTCCTACTCAGACTTCACCCCAGTCCTTGACTCAGCAGAACAGAACTATGAGCCAAGCATCTTGTGAGGTATTTTGAGGAACAAAAGGAATCATCCTCCTTGCAAAGATGAAGAGTGTTTCAGGGCACGGAGAGCGGTACTGGGGACCACCATGTTACAATAGGTCAATATAAATGCAAGTAAAAATGAAATATTTTTGCATACTATTTCATTTAATCTTCCTTAGTTTTAGCAATCTCATCTATAATGACACTAGAACAGTACACACATCCTAAGAATGTTATTAGGATTATAAATATGACAATACATATAATACACCTTACGATTATTGCAAAAAAAGTGTTATAGTTTTGTAATGTCTTGGTTAGTAGCTCCCTTGGATTCAGTGGACATTGTGGAACCAAGCTTAGCCGAGGTTTCACCATTTTGTATATCCTCCATCTTGATATGTTAGTCCCTGTACAGCCGCATTCCAGAAATAGTTTCAACAGTCATAACCCTCACTCCACTTGATGACAAAAAAGCAGACCACCCCAGCCGCCAATGAGGGCAGTCTTATCCATAAATGTGACAGCGTCCCCAGCCGTCCAATCAGTTTGAAACTATCACTGTGCGCGCCAAAATGCCTTTGTAGTAGCCAATGAGTAATTGCCACCTTGTTTCAAAATTCGAGCCTGCTTGTGACCCTATAAGAGACCCCTGCTTCCTCTGTTTGGGGCTCTCGATCTCCGCCGCTGCGCCGGTGCATGTTGTGAGCCAAGACTCGAGCCCAAATTAAACTCCTTCGTGTTCTTGCATTGGTTGTCTGTGTGTCCTTGGGGCTGCATCCGTCGACGCTGGGCACAACAGACTTTTGTGGTCATTAAATCACATCTTCACTTTTCTTACTAAGTCTGCTCCCAGGAAAAATCCTGCTGACTTTATCAAAGCCATATTTATTTGTCTAGAAGCTTATTTCCATGTTTCAATGTTCTCAGATTTTAATAGAAGCATATCTAGAAATTTTGCCTACCATAATTTTCAAACCAAGTACATGACTATAATTTCCAAATGATATTGATGAAGGACAAGAATAGAAAAACTGAATGGAGGTACACACAAGGCCAGAAACCTTGTTCACACCATGCCAAGGGTTGGAGGTGAGGTTCGAAGAGATTAGCATAGCCATCGACCCAGCTATAGAAACCAAAATCCTTAGGCAACAATGCCTAGATCACAAAGAGTAAGATCCAAGCAGGTATCAGATTGTTGTAGGGAGTGTCTACAGCATCTGCCCAAAGGTAAAGATATGGAGATTGAGCCCATTATAGAATCTCCAGTCCCTTTTGGATTCTTTATAGTTATACAAAATCAGCAACTAACAGAAGGCTCACAAGGAGTGAGCCCCTCCCAAGGAGAAGAATACTATATCAGTGCAGTCTCTGCACTGGCTCAGGGCACCTGTGCCTATGCAGGTGCTACTTTTCACCAACTCTCTCCTTCTGCAGGGCAGCAAACCTCCTGCCTGCCCGTGCCCTGTACCCTGTCATGGCTTCTCTTCACTGACCATCCCCGCCCCCCCCCACCCTCAGCAGAGGCCACTCTTTTCAAGGCTACCCGCCTGCAACAATACAGGCCTCTCTCAGCAAACCTGTCCGTTTCAGCTCTTCCTGCCCGTTTGTGTCTATGCAAGTGTCTTTTACTCTTCTGTCTCTTTCCCTAATAAACCTGCCCTTTAAATATAACTATCATCTCTGTCTCATGAAGAAACTCGCCTGGGAAACTCACACCATGCCACTGAAATGGGAGCTCTGGTGAAACCTTTCCAAGAGTGAACCCAAGGACCCCACACTCCAAATCCATTCACTCCCAAAATAACAACAATAGCATCAAAAAATTTTACCAATGCAATGTAATTGTACTTCTGTCCTGAAATCTGAATTTTCTTATAATGAAAATAATTGTTTTAATATAAAGTAAAAAACCGAAAACACAAATTCCTTTTTTGTAGGTGCATAAACTTAGATATTCATTAGTCATGGAATTCTGGGAGGAGTTAGGTAATTTTTTATTGTTAATATACTGAATCATAATTTTCTATCTTGGATTGCCCCCAAAACCTGAGCATATCTAAATTTAATACGTGGAGAAATGCTTCCATTTATACATTGCAAACATACTTCATTATAAATTGTATATCAAATTCTTACAGGGCAGGGAGAGGGGTACCTTAGAACCTCCAAACCTGCCTGCTCTAAGTAGGTTCAGCTATCCGCTGCATCAACAAAAAACATGTAAGACTTTAATGGAAAGGAACGTTAATACAATTAGTAAGCAATACAGAAGAGACAAAAAAAATATAGTTTCTAAATCAAGCACCCAAAGTTACCCGTCCCCTCGTGGGTAAAAGTCCCCACAAACAGGATTGGCCCAGAACAAGGCCCGAAAACCTCCCACAAGTCTAAAGCATCTTTCATTTGGGACCCACAGAAAAGGATCAAAAACAACCAGACAAATTTGGGAGGAAAAGAGCAAAATCAAACCAAGATAAAAGCTGCCATTGTCACCTCCCCATGGGTCTATCACCCACATCTGTTTCAACCAGTCCATGACCAACAGGCAAGCATAGTTTCTTTACATGTCTCTCTGCTCCATGTGCCTCCTCCAGGTCTTCTGGCTCTCCATCCTGCTTCTTTCCTGTCTTAGTCTCTTCTCCAGCTTCTTCTCTCTTCAGCTCCACCCTTCCTTGGGTGGGGCAGGGAACCTGGAACTTCCCCTTTTCCTGGGGACCACCCTGTTACAAAATCACAAACCTAGATTGTGCATCCAAGACAATCTAATTTGCATGTCTGTCACTTGAGTCAAAATGGGTTACTCAGTCAACCCATTTCTGTAGACTCAGTGACCATAGATTTGATAAGGTGAACAAAGATTAAGTGCACTGAACTATGTAGGGACTCCAAAAATTAACAATAACATCCCTACATTGTACATGTGCCAATATGAAGATAATATATAAGAATTGTTCTACATTTCTTTTTTCTATTTCAGAAGACAGATTTACTCTAATTTCATGGTTTGTATAATTTGGTGATTTTGCTTGATAGATGATATATTTGATCATATTGCAAATATAGTTTCTCTATACTGATAACCTGAAATGAAATATCATTCCTTCTAAATGAAATGACTAAATATATCTTTCATTCTAATTGCTAAAGCACTTTAATAAAGCATGAAATATATTATTTTCCAGGTATTCTAAAAATAAGACTCAAGGTAGAAGTTCTCTCTCAACCAATATTTGATTATTTTAAAACACCTTGTCTGATTGTAACTCTAAAAAACGTATTACTTGAAATCTCACTTTGTTTTTCCATTTGTTGAGATGAGGAGTGACCTTTTTTAAACAAAATGTACTTGAATTTACTTAAGTGGGACTTTATTCCTAATATTAGTTTGCAAAGCAAATGTTGCCTAAATATCATTTTAAAAATAAGAATTAGTTTGCTATTTTCATGCAATTTTTCTAAGCTAATATTAAACCATTATAGCTAGATAGAAATCCAATATTTAATCACCTTTATTTCAAATAAACCAAAAGCACTAAAATCAAGAAAGGAAATCTTTGTTCAGCTTGGCTTTCCATATTACTGATACATATTATAAGTTAATTATATTTTTATTGGTAAAGACATATCAAAGAAGCACAAAAAATGACCCGAGTTTAATCCCATTATTATTACTTAAATCTTGACTAAATTATCCAGACTGAAATTCCTTAGATATTTTGAATTAAAGTCTTAAAATGAACTGTAAAGATGACCAAAAAAGTCAAGAAAATTTTGTCTATTTTCAGTTGCAATTGAGTATCTAATTATCCATGTAATGATTGACTTCATTAATCTATTCTCCCACCATCAGTTAATTCCTTATCTGCCTTCTGTGATATTCTGTGTCTTTAAAGACTTTCAATCTATAATGAGTGACCACACATGATATCTTAACACATGGAACTGTGTGCTGCAAAACAAACAAAATACTAATGAACCTAAATGAGAGACTAAATATCAAATAAAAATTCATTAGGACTTATTTCCTGACATTGGCTAGATGTTCAGTAGGGTATCTACTGTATGTTCTACTCAACCATGGAGTTTCAAAATAACCATGTAGGACAGGAAACAGAAAATATTCATGTTTCATTTCTGAAATGTTGACTCTGGCTTCTGATTTGAAATCTTACATAGATTGTTGTAAACAGGTTCTTGAATAATAATAATAATAATAATAATAATAATAATATCCTTTCAGTGAAATCAACCTGGGATTTTGTTTTCTTATCAATAGTATAACAAAATGATTATAACATTCTCCCAGGACCTGCTGTATTTTAAAATGGTGAAGAATTTTCAGTTAGACTTTCTTGGTTTTGAATCTTAGTTCTGCTGCTTTTACTGACTTTCATATTGGGTAATTATTGTATGTGCAAGATAATGCACATACAATAACACAAAACTAACGTGAGTAAGGTATTTAGTATTAGTATATAAGGCATTTAATATTAGCAAGCAAAATATTTAGTATAATGCACACTGCACATACAAAACAACTATTATTTATACATTGCATTATGTATTTGTTTACTTAAATGTGTAGCTTTTTATTTCCCTTTAATATCTTTCTTTTGGTCTTTCCTGTAGGTTGGGCTCACTGGAGGCTGACTCAGAAAGGATCAGAGTACAGGAAGTTTATTAGAGAGTGCAGTCAAAATTACAAGCAGAAAAAAAAAGTGCAGATAAAGGACCAGGCAGCTGGAAAAGCAGTGCAGCAGTTCAGTCACAATAAGGTTGTAGCCAACTGCTTGGGAAGCTCTGCAGTTGGATGGCTCTTCAGAGTTGTCGCTTATTGTGATGCGGGGTTTCTACACTTTTATATCAACTAGTCATTGATAGAGGCTTCTCTGAAAAGGAGACATGACTTTGAACCATGCAGTTCTCTCCAGTCAAGGACAATTCTCTGAAATAACTTATGTAACTGGAGGCTGAAGCCAAAGACTGTTACAGGCTACAGGAGGTGCCCCCTGTGGGGGCGGAGCGGGGATTCCTGGTGAGGATAGATAGCCCCAAGGAAAATGCAAGCAAAGTATAGGTGGGGGTAGAGACTAATAAGAAACCTAAAGGACTGTAGAAGTCCCCAGGATTGAGTGTTCAGGATTCAGCTTTTGGGATTTTCAGTGTTTTCAGATCTTCAGTGATTTCGGAGTCAGCAATTTCTACCCCCACCATGCCAATCTTCCAGAAGCCTGTTCTGGGCCTCTGAAGGACTTTCAGAGGCTTCCAGCAGCCAACCTCAGAGAAGAAAAGTTTGGAGGCTTTGCAAGTATCCGAGCAACTCACACTGTTTACAGTTTTGCTGCTGTTAAGAGCCTGGCAGGGAAGGTGAAGATCCAGAGCTGGGTGCCTTGCAGAACTGCATGAGTGCGGGCCACTTACTGCATTGATTGGCTGCTGCAGCTGCTGTTTCCTGTGTTGCTTCTCTGGTGCTGTGCTGGCTTATCTCTGTAGCTCCGGTGAATATCTCCTGTTGTGTCTTCTGCTGTCTTCTTCGTGAGTTAGAGCCCGGCCTGCATAGTCTGGCTGCCGTGTGCTCCATGTCCACAGTGGCAGAGGACACCATCTTGGGAGTGTTTGTGCTTAGGATTTTAAAACAGAAACTGCTTTGGGTAAAGGGCCAATTTTGGCATCAGTAACTCTTTGTTTTCCCTGGTTTTTAAAATAAATCCCATTATTATTGTTCTTTGAACCTGAGTAGTCTTGCAATTGTGTGTGCGGGTGAAGAACTCAGATGGTGACTGGCAAACTATTTGGGCAGTGTCCTTGGTCAGTTTTAGTGCCCCTTGCTGCCCTATATTACTTAGAGCTGAAAATAATCTTCCAATAGCATTCTCAGCAGCTGAAAGTAATGGGGGGAGGTGAGTGTCCGTTGGCTTGGCCAGGAGGAGTGCTCGCTTTTTGCCAGCTCGGCGGGTCATTGGGATTCCAGGTCAGTGAAACAGGGAGGACGCATTTATGAACTTATCTCCCTTTTTTTCTTCCTGAGTTATTCCATTTCCCCTTTCCTTATAAATAAACCTTTTATCAACCTTTTGTGTATGTCTGCAGTTTAGCATTAATAAGTCCTTTTGTAACAGGGTGGTCCCCAGGAAAGGAGGAGGTTCCAGGTTCCCTGCCCCACCCAAATGGAGGGTGGAGCTGAGCAGGGAGAGAAGAAGCTGCAGAGGAGACTGAGGAAGGAAGCAGGATGGAGACAGGAGACCTGGAGGAGGCACATGGAGCCTAGAGACACGTGAAGAAACTGCGCTTCTCTTTTGGTCTTGGACGGGGTGACACAGATGTGGGTGAGACCCGTGGGGAGGTAACAATGGCAGCTTTTATCTTGATTTTGATTTTGCTCTTTTCCTTCCAGGCTTGTCTAGTTGTTTCTGATCCTTTTCTGTGGGTCCCCACTGGAAGATGCTTTGGGCTTGTGGCAGGCTTTGGGGCCTTGCTCTGGGCCAATCCCATTTGGATGGAGTTTTACCCACGAGGGGACGGGTAACTTTGGCTGCTTAATTTAGAAACTATATTCTTTGCCTTTCCTGTATTGTTTCCTAATTGTATTAAAGTTCCTTCCCATTAAAGTTTCATATGTTTTGTGTTGATGCGGCGGGTGGCAGAACCCATTTAGAATAGGTTTGCGGGGTTTGGTTTGCCCCTCTCCCTGCCCTATAACACTTTTAAGTGGGCTGGTGAGGACTCACAGTCAGGCAACTCCATTTTATATTGGGGTTTGCCCTGCAACAAAAATATACTTTCTTTTTAAGGGGATTCAAGCAGTCAATCACAGCATCCATTACAATAGTGTTATTCTTTATAGGTTGTTATCCTGATGCTAAATTTGTTTTTCCTGTTTTACATTTTAGTGATTATGAACGCCTGTGCCTCTTTTGAAATCGATTAAAGAAAGGTAAGTTTGCTAATAGAAGATGACATAGAATCTTTTGACAATTTGCTATGTGTCCTGCACATGCTGGACTAAGATGTACGCTTATAAAATTCTGTTGCAACACTTTAGATGGATGTATTCTGTTGGTGTTAACAGATAAACAGCACTCAGCTAAAATGTACCTTGTACAGCAAATAAAAAAAAAAGGAAGCTTGCAGATAAGTAATTAATTTCAGGGAAAAAATATGAGTAGTCTAGAAAATAAACTTTGCTAAAGATTTCAGCAGAAATGTGGCATTACAATGTGTACAGAAAGGATTTTAAAAATCTTATTTTTGTTAAATAACAAGTAGAAATTAAGCAACAATAGGTTATATGTGCACAGAACAAATAATGAGACAAACCAGAAGCCCACTTTTGTTATTTAACTAGGTTTGGTAGACAAAAACAATTACAATGGTACTTGTTTAAACATCTCACCATACTCCAAGAAGAGTTGGAAAATCAAGGCACAGAACTTCATTCAGGGTCCATTGAAGAAGTTGTGAACATTCTAGAAGACAGCCATTAATATGATTTAGCTATTATAGTTTCTAATAAAACATTTCTTACTTTTGAATTTCAGTTAGTCAGCAGTAATTGGGACTATCTTAAACTCAGTTAGGTGCCCATTCCTAGATCAAAGCATGATAGGCACTAGGTGGGATCATGTCATTCTCACGTGGGAAAGCCTTTTTAATAAATGGTGTGGAAGTGAGAGGCAATTTATTGAAGGAAAGACTATCTCAACAACCACTTACTTGCTGAATTAACTGCTAGTGTCCAAATTGGGGCTGGATTCTGTTTATTCTATGGTAGGCCAATATCACAGGTGTGTGCGTGTGCGTGTGTGTGTTGAAATCTGAGTAAAACATTGAGATGAATATTAAAATAAGATAAATTCCCATCTGTTTGGAATGGAACAATTTAAAACATGTTTCTTTACTAAGTTAAGAAAACCATATAATTTATATGATTACAAAATAATTTCCCCAGTATACCAGAATTGAAATGAAAGACAGCCTGCTTCCCAAATAAAATGTGGTGTGAGTATATATTTGTACATTGATGTGTGAGTGTATGTTTGTATTTCCAAATGTAAATTTTTTATAACTGAAAAGCATTGACTTTTTACCTATTTAAATTAGAATAAAGCTTATTATTTTTCATTAGTTTATTTGGCAATATATTCATATACTTCAATATTTTACTGGCTGTAATACTGGGAAAATAGCTGTAGCACGTTGGTTGAATATAAATATGTGCTTAATTTAGAAATTAGAAATCTAAGAATTTGGTAGCTTGCTAACTGCCAATTGGATTCTATATTTAATGTATGGTATGTTTTTAAAACAGTTGAACTTTTTAACCTATGCTAAATGCTTTGTCTGACCACTACCCTTTTTCAAAATTAATTCACACAATTTAGTAGGTTCTTGATAAGTTAAAAAAAATAATATATGCTAGGATATTTTCTTTAATTAGCAAGTCAATTAGACATTGATTATAACACTGTGGCACCATTGCAAGTTTTATTGTCACCAAAAAGTGAGGTAAATCAAGAGACAACAGTCCAATGGTTTAGCAAGCTTGTATGCTTCCTTATATATTGCAGCCGTCTGTGGTTTAACATTTGGAATTAATTTCTGAAATAATTTAGAGAGGCTAAGCATTCTGCCTGTCATTTTTCTAAATCTGATAGGATGGAATAATAAGCAGCTGAAATATTCTAGAGCTATATTACAGGCTTCAGTGATCACAAGGGTCTCTGATTCATTCCCAAAGCTAAGTTTCTTTCCTAACATGTATGATGTATAGCTTTTTTTTTTTTTTTAAGATTTATTTATTTATGCATGCAAGAACTGGGGCACAGGCCAGAGGCATGGGGGGTGAAAGGATTTACCTGAAACAGAGTGGGGAACAGAACAGGCAGAATAACTGAAATACATTGCCAAGGGGAGCAGGGGGCGAGGCAGAAGAGGTTTGCTGTGCCATGTGGGCAGCTCCCCGGCCAGGGATCAAACTCATGCTGCAGTGGCTGCTGATAGTGCCATTGGCTGCGCCTTAACCCCTTGTGCCACCAGGGAAGCCCCTGACGTGTTGCTTTTTATTGGCAATTTTCATGTTTGAGTTGGTGACCCTGCCATTTGTTTTTATTGTTATCTTTTCCTTTTTTGTGGTAAAGATAAGAAAACTAGTTCGGGCCCTCTGGTTGTTTATGTCTGCAGTCAGTAGTTACTAATGCTGCTACCCTCTTTGCTGAGTTCTTTTCTTGCCAATCTTTTCTTGGATACCTGATTTTTGAGCAGATGCTCCTTTTAATCTAATCTCATGTTAATTTTAAATATTTATTCATAAATGTTTCCAGTCTTCAGTAAACTAGGAATTGGTTTTGTATTGCTTTTGTGACACTCATTGGATTGTTGTCTCTTGATTTACATCTCTGTTTCCTTCAAAAGATTGTTAGCTCAAAGAGAGTCAGAATTACGTTTTTGCATCTCTACAAAACCTGGGTCTAAGCATATAACATAGTATGTTCTAAATACCAACTAGCTTTTATTTTTTAAAGATTTATTTATTTATACAAGCACTGGGTACAGTCAGAAGTGTTGGATGGTGAAAGAATTCACCAGAGTTGGAGCGGGGAGCAGAACAGGCAGACTGACGAAATACACTGCTGAGGGGAGCAGCATGCGAGGCAGGAGAGGTCTGTCGTGCCATGTGGGGCCCTTGCCAGGGATGGGGATTGAACCAGCGCTGCAGAGGCTGCGGGCAGCTTCGAAATCCAGCGCTCAACCACTGTGCCACCAGGGGAGGCCCCTAGCTTTTATTTTTTTTTTTTAAGATTTATTTATTTATGCATACAAGAGCCAGGGTACAGGCCTGAGGTGTGGGTGGTGAGAGGATTCACCAGAGACAGAGTGGGATGTGTAATAGGCAGACTGACTGAAATAAACTGCTGAGGGGAGCAGCAGGCGCTCCAGGAGAGGTCTGCTGTGCCATTTGGGCAGCTTCCTGGCTGAGGATCGAACTCCTGCTGCAGTGGCTGCAGACAGCTTCCTAGGTTGTGTCATAACCCCTTGTGGCACCAGGGAGGCCCCCAACTAGCTTTTGATAGTCTGAATAGCCAACAATATAATATTACTGAAGAATTGGACTTTTAGTGGCTATAAATGAAAAATATTAAGGTAAAAAAAATGGAATACTATATTACTGATTTGGAGAGGATTACAAAGGATATAGAATTATTTATTTGGGAATATGAGGGTCTCTTTCCTTATCCATTTAGACTTCAGTTGAAGTTATCAGAATTCAGCATTCTCTCCTTCAATTCTTCCAGAATGCCTATCCACATTCATGTTTAACCTGCTCTCTTTTCCGTCGTTCTTTCCATAATTCAGAGTCTTATTTGCTTCAGACTCTTTCAGACCTCTTCATCTGACATATCTTTGATAAATTCTTAATTTTATATTTTAGTCATATCTATCTCCTTATTTTGATCATGTGTTGATATCTTTTATTCAATTTAAAGTAATTATTTTTTTAAAGATTTATTTATCCATGCATACAAGAACCAGGGCACAGGCCAGAGATGTGGGGGTGAGAGGATTCACCAGAGACAGAGTAGGGAACAGAATAGGAAGACTGACTGATGTATACTGCTGAGGGGAGCAGCGGGTGAGACAGGAGAGGTCTGCTGTGCCATGTGAGTTTCTCCTGGCTGGCCAGGAATTGAACTTGTGCTGCAGAGGCTGCAGACAGCTTCATAGGTTGTGTCCCAGCCCTTGTGCCACAAGGGAGGCCCTCTTTTTTTTTTTTTTTTAAGATTTATGTATTTATTTATACAAGCACTGGGGTTCAGGCCAGATGCACGGGTGAGTGAGAGGATTCACCAGAGACAGAACTGGGAGCAGAGACAGGTAGACTGACGAAATGCACTGCTGAGGGAAGCAGTGGGTGCGACAGTAGAGGCCTGCGTGCCCTGTGGGGCCCTTGCTGGACGGCCGGGATTGAACCCATGCTGCAGAGGCTGCGGACAGCTTCACAGCGCTGAGCTCAACCACCTGCGCTGCCAGGGGAGGCCCGCAAGTAATTATTTCCATTCTACCTCCATTCTATTCTAGCTTGTCTTGCCTTTTTTTTTTTTTTTTTCTTCATTCTTTTGGTGTCAGTATTGGTAAATTCAAGTAATAGATTGTCTTGGAGTAACTACTCCACTTCTCAAGATTTGTTTTCAAACTAGAAGGGCAAGGAGAGGACTCCAAAAGTCATATGTAACTATGTTATTGGTTTATTTCAATCTTGGTGTCTGCATTCCTGTGAAATGAATGATATTTCTAAGTTTATGTTTCAGAAGTCCAGTACACATGGTCTGGCTTGATTAACACAAACTACACTTTAGTCTGCAACATTTTGTGGCAAATCAGTAAGATCAAAGACTTCAAATGTATAGGGAAACTCAAAAAATATGATGAATACCAACCCATATTGTCACACAAAATTGCTAGTTTACATATACCTTTTGCTGCAAGTAATGAACAAAATCCTATATTGCTTTCTAGCAGAGAAACACTCAAGTGTACATGAGCTGAAGTCATAATGCTTGAACACTCTTCCCTATTTGCTGGGTGACCTTTGGCAATATGCTTAATTCCCTGTGTCTCCTTGATTTCAGGGGATTGTAAAGATCAAACATGTAAATGCATGTGACTTTCTTTACTCTTACATGGCAAGTACTCAATTAAATGAGAGATTTTTCTATTATTTCTTTTTACTATTACAAAATGTTCTTAATCTTTTCTCTAAACTTGTTCTTAATTAATTTTCTAGACCAACCATTATGCATTGGCAAGATACATGCTTTTAATTCTAAGAAAACTTCCCAAACTACAATTTAAAATTTTTGCTTTTATAACTGGACAAATATTGGTGTTACTAAAATCAGAGGTCTTCATAAAAATATATACAATGATTAGTGGAGTTTGACTTCTTAGCCTGAAGTGTTTCAAACTTTACAGATGGAACATTTTTTTTTTCTCTCTGATAATAATTAAAACTTTAAGTCACTGAGTACCCTAACTCTGCCTTACCCTTATCTAGCCAAATTTTATGCCATCAAAGCTATTACCACTGTAACAGTTGTGAAGTCTATTTATTCCAAGAAGGATGCAAATGCTGGTGATCTCCATTTTTACCTCTATTTGTGAGGATAAAAGCTATAATTTCTTGAATTTTTACCTATGCATGAACTGGATGGAGAAATCCTAGCACTGGTGAGATTTTTCCTTGTATATACATTGACTTCCTCATATCCATTACATTATTCCCCTTGCTGCAAGGGTGTTAGTGCCCTCATTTGTTTAGGGTGTTAGTGCCCTCATTTTTAACACAATGGATAGACTTCCAGTTGTTTAAGTCAATCAAGGTTGTCCTATTTCCCTTTATACAATATTTCATAAATGTTGGCTTGAGACAATCAGAACATTATACTCCCTAAATCAGGGTTCTTTCAATTAGTACGAATATCAGCTCTTTATTGATGACCCTAAGATGAAATTCTATCCTGTTGGATAAGAATGCAACATGTAGCCCAATTCCTGGCACCCAAACTAGGACTCACAGCATGGCCAACTTTAGAACCAAGCCAGCTCTGTTTATAGCTGAAAAGAAAGTCTGAAAAAACTGAATCTTTGATGGCATTATTGAACCAGTGGACCTTCAAGATATATGAGCCAATGATTCTCCATTATTATTTAAGCTACTTGGATAGAATAGGGATTTCTTTTACAATGAAACAATCAAATTGATATGCTTTCTTTGGGTGATGTGCTATAAACTCATGACCCAAGACCACTACATAGTCACTGTCATAAATTGAAAATTAAGTGACAAGAGAAAATATTCCTTATCTGGAAAATTTTTAGAAGTTATTTTTTCTACAACAATAGCTAACCAGCATAACTTAGCATTGGCAATTGGCCTGTGATTGCACAGAGAATTGCTTAAATGAGATCCAGAGATGTCTAGAGGCTGGCCCACAGTCTTCAAAGATTACTGAGGCATGCTAAGTCAAGACAATTTAGAGGTATTT